GAAGGGTGGGTGGTAAGTAAGAGCAATAATGATACATGATTGTGTATATTTGCAGCGGTTGTTAGTTAGTTAGTTTGTTCGTTTGTTTGTATGACGGCCAGGATGTTGAGACGTCAAGGTGAAGGCAATTCGCAAGCATACATACGTACATACATACAGACGTAAATCTTTCCTGACGCGTGGTGCGTTGTGTGTGTGTGCATCTGTATGTGTATCGGTCCGGATGTGGCGCAGGAGAGCCGGCGGCTTATGGAGCTGGCGGAAAAGTACGGCAGGCGGCACGTAAGTGTATGGCAAGACCGCGGCTTAGAGTCTAAGGCTGCTGGTGCGCATTACGGAGCCTCTGTCTCCGAGTGATGCGGCGGCAGTGGTCGGGCCGTTAGGGTCGGGTACGGCATGTGCATGTCACGTACGTTCGTACGTTCATCGTAAGGCGGGAAACCCTAGCTCTGCAATCCTCGAAGCTGCTGCTGCTGCTGCTGCTGCCCCCGCTTTCGGCCCTCTCATATCTTTTCACTTACCTTCCTCTTTCTTCACCTCCTCCGGCGAATAAGGGGTTTTTACTTTCCTATTTCCCCCTCTCTCCCCCTCCTTCCGCTACACTGCCCATGCCTCCCCCCGCTTTAACGAACGCATTACCCCTCCCCCCCCCTCCACCTCCCCCTCCACCTCCTCCCCCTCCACCTCCCCCCCCCTACGCAGTGGAACAAGGTGGCAGCTGAGCTGGGCACTGGGCGGACCGCGGGGCAGTGTCTGGCGCACTGCCTGCGCTGGTCGCGGTACGACAGGCGACCTGAGCGCAGTGTCTGGAGCGGGGAGGACGACGTGGCGCTGGAGGTGGGGGTTGGGGGTCGGGTCGGGTCGGGGGGCCGTCGGGTGAGAAATGTATGTGGGGGGTGGGGGACTGGGTATGTATGTATGTATGTATGTGTGTATGTGTATGTATGTATGTATGTATGTATGTATGTATGTATGTATGTATGTATGTATGTATGTATGTGTGTATGTATGTATGTATGTATGTATTTATGTATGTATGTATTTATGTATGTATTTATGTGGATTCTGGGTGGCCGTGACCCGCCACCCGGCACCCGCACGTGCACTTCCTTCCCCCTCCTCTCCCCCTCCTGTTATCAACTGCATTTAATGATTGCTGATTGCGCAATCCTGTGTGAGGGTCCGTCGAGGAACGCTGTCTGTATGCCAAACAAACATCGCTAGTTGTGTCTAGCCGAAACGACTTCGCGCCCGCCGCCAACTCCGTCGAAAGCCAAAAGCAGGAATCAAGGGACAGAAGCTACATAATGGCCGCCTTATGTAGCAAGTATTTTACTGCAAGATCCAGTGCTGCAATATGGTCTCAGGTCATGTGATGCCTCAGAGCCTTCATGTCCATTTGGCGCTCCTTTGGCTCCTCAGCACCCCCACTTCCTCTCGACGTCACCTCGCACGGCCCCCCCCTCCCCCTCCCCCCGACGGGTTCTGTACCGTTCGGATCCTGTCGTACGTTTTGCAGGCACTTGTGGCCAAGTACGGCACAGACTGGGTGGCTGTAGCTGAGGGCTTTGGTGGCCGCTTTGACCGGCACCAGGTTTGTGTGCGTGTGTGTGTGTACAGGTGTGCGCGTGTGTGTTGCACGAGTGAATGTGCCGTAGTATTCCACAGAAACGTCCGTACATAATACCCACCTTCCCCCCACATCACCCAATGGATTCGATGACGACTTCCCGGTAACCCACCAGAGGCAGAATACCTCCTGCATCATCGGACACGAGGCTCATAGCCCTTCTTTCTACTTACGACTATTTTTGCTTTTCGTCGTCGTTCCATTGAGCGGCGTTAAGTGTTGAGCTTTTCAATACACACGCAATACACACGCATACACACTTCCCTCCCCCCCCCGGTGTCCCCCCGGCGCTAAGGTTCGTGACCGTTGGTACGGCGTCATGACTGCAAGCGGGCCTCGCCGTGTGGGCAAATGGTCCGCGGATGAGGACGCTCAGCTCGTGAAGGTGAGTGTGTGTGAGTGTGTGTGAGGGGGGGGGAGGGGGGGGAGGGGACACTTCCCGCCGAGGGTTCGCTGGGCAGCTGGAGCTTTGGGGAGAGGGGGGAAAGAGCGATGTGTCCGTCTGTTTGTCTGTTCGTGCATATGGGTATATATATGTGCCGCAGGCGAACGCAACGGCCACGTTCACGTCCACTTCTTCCCGCAGCTAAGTTCATTAAAATAAATAACGATGCGGAAATACCGCAATACGACGGACATGATGACGGACACACCGTGCGGTGGCGGACAGCAGCGCGTGGGTCGGCGTGTCTGTGTGGGTGTGAGCCAGGGTTCCCTGGCTGGATCCAACATTGGAACTAACATTTGAATTCTGATGTTGAGGTGGGTAGAGCCGGAAAGGACCGTAACAGTGCAGCTGCTGTCTCCCGGGGGCCACAACACCCTCCACCCCCCCGCCCCCCAGGGTGAGCCCCATGGGGTTCCAGAGGTTTCCCGCCCCTTCCCACCGTGCAGGCGGTGGACGAGCTGGGGCAGAAATGGACGGCAGTTGCACGTCACGTGGTTGGCCGTACCGCCCGCCAGTGCCGGGAGCGCTACGTGAACCTGCTACAGCCAGGCCTCAAGTTTGGCCCCTTTTCGAAGGAGGAGCAGAAGGTAGGTACGAAGTGTGAGAGGAGTTTTACGTACGTTAATAATAATACGGTACATGATAAATATTATTTAACTGTCAACTGCCGAAGCCCCAATAATAATCCCCATATTGAGAAAGGGGGAAAGATAGCGGACCGCCCTTTATGGCGGGAAATTTGTTTGGTGACCGGCGTAATGCCTTTGATATACTTATTCTTGGCGCGGCTGGTTCAAATTTTCTAATACATATAGAATATTTCCTTTTTTAGGCTTTAAAATGCATTGAGTTATTAATAACAAAGGAGAAAGGACACAAGTTTTTGTTGAATGGTGATGGTTTTCGTTTGTGTCCACAGGTGCTGGCGGAGGCGTGTCGAGAGCTGCAGGCGGCGTACGGCAGGATCACTTGGGCTCGTGTGGCGGAGCGACTGCCGGGCCGTACGGACGACCAGTGCAGCCGAGCGTACGAAGGGCTGGTCAAACACGACAAGGTATACGACACAGAGCAAGACCGTTGTACTACAAAGCTCGCGCGTCTAGCCAGGTCCCCTCCACCACATATCGGTCCATGCCGGGTGTCCGAAGTTCATCCATTTTGATCCAATCAGCCGCGGGGGTATTACCATGGACCAATAGCAGTTTGGGCATCGGCTTGGGGCAGTGCTAGCGATGGAAAGCTTCAGTTTGCACGGAAGCTGCCATACACTGCTATCTCAACAAAGCTAAAGACCCAACTTAACTTTTTCTACGTTGCGGTGCCTCAAGGGTGCTCCCGCGAGCCCGCGCGCCACGGCCCTCAGTACCTCAGCCCTTTCCGCCGGTTCACTTGTCTTCTCACTAGCAGCCTCTGTTACCCCCCTGCACCCCTCCTTCCCCCCCCCCCCACACACACACCGCATACACACCCCGGGCGATCCTCAGGCCCACATCGGTCATAAGCGCGGAGGCGGCAGCCACCAGCTGCTGCAAGACCCGGGGGGCGGCAGCAGCAGGGCGAGGAACGCAAGAAAGCGGCGACGGAGCGGCGGGGTGGAGGAGGGCGGGGCGGAAGAGGCGACCGAGACGGGAGGGGAGGAGGATCACAGGGCGGGGTTACCGGACCAGGAGGGGCAGGGGGCCCTGGGGGCTTCAGGGCCCGGTGGGGCTGCAGCAACGTCCCCGCAGGTTACGGAGGGTGAAGGGGGGGTTGAGGGGGATGGCGGTGGGAGTGGTGGAGGTGAGGGAGCGGCGGGAGGTCGGGTCGTGGAGGGGAGGGATGGGGAGGAGCAGCAGATGGTGGGGCCCCGGAGGCGGCGAGGTAGGTCTTCGGCGGCGGGGGCGGCGGGGGCGGGGGCGGTGGCGGCGGCGGCGGGGGCGGCGGCGGCGCCGCAACGGCGGCGGTCAGCGGCTGTGGCCCGGGCGCCGTGGAGACAACAGCGCCGCCGACGGCGTGGAGAGGAGGAGACGGAGGCGGACGAGATTGGGAAAGGAGGTCCTGGGTCGGCCGTTGAGGAGCAGGACGGCCAACACGAATGATCGACCAAACCTGGAAAACGATGAAGGGGAATAGCTGGTGAAGGCTTGTTGGTGAAAAAAAGGGGGGAAAAGGGGAGCAGGTTTGCCGCAAGGGGCACACCTGAACCTGGGGGGAAAGGGGGCCAGCGCTGAGAGCGGGTGGCCGGAAGGGGGCTCGTGGACTGCTGCACTAAACGTTTGCGATGTGGGGCACCGTAATTGTTCCCAATGTAACAGCAGCGACATGAGGTGACGCTCTGAAGTTATGATTCACCACAGCGGGGAGGGGGGGAGGGAGGTGGCTGCATGAAGCAGGCGCCTTGCACTGGCGGACACACACTGGAGGCTTGGAGGGGGGGAGAAGACAAGACAAGGATAAGGCAAAGGGGGAAATCGGGCCCTGAGGGAAGGGCCCTGGAGCTTGGGGTGCACGACGCTGGGTATTGGACAGGGGAGCGGCAACTCCCGAAGCGGTGCGAAACCTAGTTGACAAAGAGGCGCTCAGGCAACTCCTGGACAACTGTTTCGGGGGTTGGAGTTATTCCGGGGTTGGAGGGGGGTGGGGTCCGCCTGGACACCGCAAGATAGGACGGAGCCCACGAAAATCCACAGCTGGCATGCTCCTGGTGGGCGAATGGTAGTACTTGATGCTGGCGCCTGGTCGTCAAGAACCGGGCCGCTGGTCAAGGATTGGAGCTACCTGTTGGCGCCGGGGTTGCCCGTTGTGTTTCCGTTGTTCAATGTCAGTCCCATTATCGCATTGCGGGAAGTAAGATGGCCAGGATGGCGGCAGTGGATTCACACAATCCATATACGACAAATTGGGGCCCTATGGTGGGACTAACTATACCCGGCTCCACAGTAGCTCAGGAAACCTCATAGTGAGCCTCTATCTACTTGCCAGGGAAACCCTCATCTACTGGTATTATGTACCGTACACACCGGTATGTACTGGTGTGTATGGCACTTCTGATGGTCGGAAATGTAACAACCCTTACCATAAATTTATGGCAGCATGCCATACATGGCCACGTTTCATGGGCTTCTATAGGTGCTTTCGGTAGCTGTGGTGGTGGCGATGGTGACAGCGTGCATCGATCTATTCAATGCTTGTTGATTAAGTGCTCGTCCTGTAGTGTGGTACAGCAAGTGCGGTGCAGGAAGTCGCAGCCCAGAGCTGGGCAGAGGACAAGGATGGATACGGTAGTTCGTTACAAAGATTAGCTGGGAACACGGCGCTAACTTCAGACAATGCAAGATCACCCGACAACAGGGCAAGCAAGCGCAAGTCAGAACCCCGCCCGCCCACCCGCCCTTCGGAGAGGGGAGGAGGACGAGACATATTACAGGTACCCCATCCTTCATCCAACGTACAGTGACAAGGTTGTGCACCAGCTAAGAGTAAACCGATAACAGTTGTTTTCCAAGACACGATAGGCAATGGCTGGCCTAGCACAGGTGCCGGGCCACCCTGCTGAGACATGAAGCCTCCTGGAGCGGACCAACCACCTCTTTCCCCAGCGCACATCTCGAAATCTCAACACAACAGCCTTTATATCTTTTACACTAGTAACTTGCTAGGATTGACGAACATGAAGAAACTCGACCCGAACAAAGTGGCACTGTGTCATGTGACAAGTGACATGGCTGTCACCTTGGCTCTGCATCATCGTGTCGTGTGCGTTGCAGCGCATGACCATGGGTCCAGAATATGGCACAAAGCAGTGGCAAATTCCGGGAGCGGTGGCGTTCGCAGTGTACATCCTCGCTTTTCCCGCACTGTAAGCTTACCTGGTATACAGTGATTTTTTTTTCATTTAGGGGGGGTCTCAATTTATTCCAACCTAAGTAACAAAGTTGCTAGCGTCGCCGTTATGTATTCCTTAAGAGTGGGGCGCTGGGGGGGGCTACGCCCCCCCCAGACCCCCCCCGATAAATTACAACTCCCCTCATAGACCAAGAGGCACGCACTGGCAATCTGCCATCTGTGGGGATTTTCCTTCTGCTTGTCCCGCCATGCACCGTCGCTCATGCCCTTGCGGATGCGCTGTGTCTGAGCCCGCTTGGCACTGCGAGCACTCGGGTTGGGCGCCTCGCCGCATTCGTTGTTGTCAAGCTGATTGGGTGACAGCTTGCGCTTATGCTGATCACAACCGCCATGGAAGGCAGGGGTAAGGGCGCCTGTAGCAGTCGCTCACCTGACGGGAGGACTGGCAAAGCGGAAGCGTGGAGTTATTAGTCCTCGTCGATGTAGGAAGAAGTCCAACCAAGCGGCAGGCACTAGCGTACATAAGATGTGTACGTAACGGTTAGAGACGGCGGCAGCGGAGTCTTGAACTCCGAACACCTAGTAATGTGATACGTCAGTGTCTGGCCAGAACACCCCGCCCGGGTAGCTTATATCTCGGCCTACCTGCCGGATAATCTCTACTACGGACCTTGCCGTACTAGGATAATGTTGGTGGGGCCCGGGGCCCCAGCCCGTTAGATTCGCTTACGAACAACTGCCCAGTTCGCGACATGTGACGAAACTCGGAACATGTACGAAACTTGAGTCAGATCGTTTAACAAATTAACAGTTATTGTTAAAAGTAATCGTTAAAATACTCTAAGGGAAATGTAGACTGCTACAGTCTCCCCCCTCTGAAGCGAACCGTCCCGGGAGCGTCACTTCTTCTTAGAAGATTTCCGTCCCTTGGGTTTTTCCGGGGCTTGAGGGTGTTTCTTAGACGCCAGTTTGCGTTCATATTCGTCGATGGATTCGGCCAAGGGGGTAGACTGGCGAAGGGATTCCTCTGGTTCATAGGTATTATGACTGGAGTCATAACCTTCCCATTTAATCAAATACTCTCGACGTGTCTTTCCACGTCCCCCTCGGACTGAAACATCGCGATGGTCGACAATGGCTTCGACCATAAAATACGGCTCACCCTCAATGACGAGTGGCGCCGGTGGCTGTCGCTTTACGTCTTCTTTGTACAATTTCAACAAAGAAACGTGGAAGACCGGGTGTAGGCGGGAGGCCGCCGGTAAGTCCAGTTTTACCGCAGCTTCGCCCACGCGAGCGACAACCGTGTATGGGCCGATGAACTTAGGCATCAGCTTCTTAGTTCCAGGGGTTTTTAATGTAATATTTTTAGTAGATAACAGCACTTTCTGCCCAACCTCGTAACGCACTGGACGCCTATGCATGTCGGCGTCGTCCTTTTGGACTTGTTGCGCAGCCAAGAGACACTTTTTAGCTTTGCTTATACGCTCACGAAGCATCGCTTCTTGCTTCTGAGCGGCAGGCACCTTGGTTTTGAGGTGAAGGTCAACCGGCACACGTGTGTGTGGTTGTTACAGTGGGCTCCAGACTCCCGAAGAGTAGAGCCATCGGGCCAGCTGGCCGTGCACTGCAGTAGAGACTAATATACCAAAAGATTATCATCTCAGATAATTAACCTCTCATCGGTAACCGCTCTCGCGAACAAATCAATTTGCCAGATATAATCCTCAAAAAGGGGTGATGTGCGCCAACGGATTCCCAACCTTTTCGTGGAATTCCTAAAGCTGCGAAACCCTGAATGCGGCCCCAAAAATCAACAATAACGTGGTTGTCGAACACCATTCAGGGAAAACGGAGTTGTCCCCGTTGCCTTCTGTTTTGAGTTGTTTATGGCAAACTCAATCAGTGGCAAATGCTCATCCCAATCATCTTGAGTGGGTGAGATGTAGTGCCTGAGTGTCTCCTCCAGAACGCGATTCATGCGTTCCGTTTGCCCGTCTGTTTGCGGGTGAAAAGCTGTGCTCATATAGAGGTGGGTGCCCAACAGGCGAAATGTTTCCTTCCAGAAATTACTTGTGAAGCGAGAGTCCCGGTCTGAAATAATGTTCTTTGGAAGGCCGTGCTGCCTGAAGACGGTAGCCACAAAGAGGCGGGCTACATCTTCAGCTGTAGCGGTTGTGTGTGTGGGAGCAAAGTGCGTCATTTTGCTCAGCCGGTCCACGAACACTACAATCGCATCGTGCCCATTGCGGGATGTCGGTAGCTGCGTAACCAAATCCATTGTCACGCTTTCCCACACCTCCGTTGGAATGGGAAGGGGCTGCAGTAATCCACCCGGCTTAGCATTTGTTGGTTTACTACGCTGACATTGGGGACATGATTTGACGTGTTCTTTAACGTCAGAGTCAAGCCCTGGCCACCAATATGATTGTGCGATCGCTTGTTTGGTGCGGTCTATACCGCGGTGGCCTGCGTAAGGGACATCATGATACTCGGTCAAGATGGCTCTTCGCAGTTCAGCGTTATGAGGGACATAGATCTGGTTTCCCCGATACCAGAACCCATTCCTTCGTTTTAACTGCAGCTTGGCTACTCTTGATTTAGCAAGGTTTGGATCACCGTCGTACCCGCTTTTGATTCGGTGTCCCAAGTCGCTGTCCGCCAGCGAGGCCGTAAGCACATTAAGCACCGTGTCGTGAACCCGACTAATAGGGTCTGCGACATTAATCCGTCCGGGTCGGTACTCCCAAGTGAACTGGAATCGAGACAATCGTTCCAACCATCGAGCTTGCCTTCTGGAAAGTTTATCGGCGCTTTTCTGCTCTTGCAGATAGACCAAAGGTTGATGGTCCGTTACTAGGGTGACATGACTCGCACCTTCCAAGTAACAACGCCATTGCCAGGACTGTGCCCAAGCATTCTTGATCTGTGGTGGAATAATTGTATTCCGCGCTGCTGAATTTAGAACTTGTATAAGCAACTGGTCGGTCGTCTTGTAACAAGACAGCACCAGTGCCATGCAGCGACGCATCAGACCAAACTACGAAGGGTTTGTCAAGCTCAGGGAGTTTTAATACTGGTGCGTTTGTCAAGGCATCTTTCACACCCTGAAAGGCAGTATCACACTCCTTTGTCCAGTGGAAGGGCACTTTCGCACTTGTTAGGGTTGTGAGGGGGGCCACGAGAGAGGAATAACCCTGGATGAACCTCCGAAAATAGTTGGCTAAGCCAAGAAACGCGCGCAGTTTAGAGG